CGCTCTGCCTTCCCCTCCGGCCCCCAAACCACAGGCACTTGGATGCAAGGCAAACCTGCTGAGGGGCTTCCGTTTAGTCACAGAATATTGATTCCTCTGGCAGAAAAATCACATTTTTGATGTGCTTGGTAAATAAGGGGAGGAAGGGTCCCACACGCAGCAAAACATGGGGCATTTTCTTCACTTTCACCAGGCGCGAAGGCATGTTCTTCATAAGAGTGGTTGCTTGGTGGGACACACTATCCTTTGTGAAGGTGAATATTAATCACAGGTTTAGCTCCTGGGCTTTGCCAGCACCCTATTTTTGGCTGGCTTTCTGCTCCTCAGAGCTCGGGAAGGCCTCTGTTGGCTGAAGGACATGGGGTGGGTACATGCCTTGCTTCCTTGGCTGGATTATCCCTCATCCTCTCTGCATTTTAAGAGATTTGGTGGGCCTGTTAACAGCTTCTACCTGTTTTAAGACCTGTGACAGGAGGCTGAATGGCTCACTTCATGCGGCCCCACTTGCCCACTGTTCCTGCTAGCGGTGTTGACATGATTTATGTAAATCATAAAATGTGGCGGGGTGACCTCACGAGTGTCCAGCTCTCCTCACGCACGTCTCCGGGCAGAAGGGCTAGTATTTATAAACAGTGGTATATTCACGTCTCAGTAACCTGCTTTATTTACACTGCTTGAACAGGGCCACTACTGCACAAATAAAATATTATTCCCCACCATGTGCGTTTCGTTTTTCTGTCGGCTCTGTGTTTTCTTTCATGCGTTGCCCTTCGCTGTTGGTGAAGTTGTTGGCAGCTCTCCCCAGCAAGGGACTGGGGAGAAAGGAAGGGGGAGAGTGAGGATTTCTGCCATTTCTAGAGCAGTGTGGTGACAAACGACTGCAGGACCCCAGACCATCAGACTAGCAAAGCCTGCATTGGGGCTGCAAGCTGTACCCTGGTTTCTGCAGGTTGTAGGAGAGCAAGCCAGTACCCCGTGTTAAGAACCGGCCGAGCTGCTGCGACACAGCCCTTTGTCACAGCCAAACTCATTGCCTTTGCTTGCCCCAGCCCATCACATGCTTCACTTGCTGTGCCGCTGCTGGTGGGATGCTGGCTCCTGGGAAATCCTGGTCTTGGCTGTGCTTTGATGAGGGTAGGCGAGAGTTAGTCAAGCTATAATCAAGCTTCTTAGGCATCTGGATATGGCTGAACCAGTTGGAATTTTCTAGCAAAGTCATCTTTTCACAGTCATTTTTAAGGAGATCTTTTTACTATAGCCTCCAAAGAGCTCATTTCTGGCTCATGAATTAAGAGAAAAATGTTTTCTCTCCCAAAATAACCACAGTAATGAACTCAACAATAAAAACTGCTTATCACCCTTATGGTTTGGGGGTGCTTTTTTTTCATTTTTAGTTTTTTCCACTAATTAAAAAAAGGGAAGGAAGGTTTAATGCTTTTTAAAATATCTTGTTTAAAGTTGTGTCTGGTTCATTATCTCACCAGCTTCTGCTGTTTCAAAAATGTGTTTTTTCTTTTAATTTTCTCAATGAGATGTTTATAGTAAATATTAACTTATGAACAAGTCAAGAAAATCGATAGCTGAAACTCTATCAACCTCGAAAGACTGTGTGCATTTCAAAATGAACTCCACAGCCTGAAGCTCCATAGGAGAAAGAGCTCTATTGCCTTTACTGATGGAAAGGGAAAAGTATCTCATAAAAAAGCTTCATTTCTGTAAACTACATAAACATGACTCTTCTAACAGCACTTGAACAAAATCTAAATCATGGGCCCACAACTGCTCACTGGATTCTGGATTCAGATGCACATTTTGGCAACATCTGGCTGTGTGCAGGGATGGGACCTGTCTCTAAAATGGATCCTCCTTCTCCTGTCCTGTACTGTGGTTCCCACAGGAAGAAAATGCCTGCTTCTGGACAGAGAAGGGACAGTAAGCACTCTGAAACATAATGGAGATAGGCAGGGAATACCTCTCCCATGTTTGTTTGAAACCAGAGCAGGCACAGAGCTACGGAAGGATCAGGATTTGGGCAGTCATTTATTTGCTGGGTACTCCGGGAAAGTTTAGCTGCCAGCCTGGGGTCGTGGTTTGTATGATGGGGGAGCAGCTCCGCTGGGGCCAGCAGGCACATCTGGAAGCAGACATTTGGCTTGCGGCTGCAGCCCATGTGTCAGGTTTGGTGTGTGTCTGGAACAGTGTGCTGCAAGGACCATCACCCCCAGGACTGGGGCATAGAGAGTGGGAACAGCCAGATGGCTGAAAAACTTGCTAAGGGAAAGTACTTTTCTCTTTATATTCTTGCATATCCTTTTACCTGGATATGTTCATATCCTTTTACCTGTCCCAAGTTCACAGCTGCATTTGCTTTCCTCTCATAAATATTTCCTTTGTTGTTGTTGTTATTCCCAGAATGTGACTGAGGAATTTCTGTTTGTTAAAGGCATTCAGCAAGGCTGTGGTAAGGTGCCCTAGTTTACTGGTTGAGATCACAAAGCAGTTTAGTTATCTGTCAAAATGCAGTTGTTGAAACCTGGACACTTTAGCTTTTCCCAGTCTTTCAGAAGGCTTTTAAGGGTTTTATTCTGGCCACTCTCCCTCACAGCAAACAGCCCCTCTTTTCCCTATCAGCAGTGGTATTGCCTATACACAGCCTGCATAAATAGAGGTAGCAGAATCTGGCTTACAGAAATTTTCAATATTCTTCAAGTATATAATAAATTATTTCAGAAATCTAAATGATGCTGAAATGAAAAATTGCTCTATTGAACCAAAGGGATATTTGGCTGGGGAACCCCCACATTTAGTGTTTGATATTTTGAAAAATGTCAATATTCTCTTCAGCTTCTAGTTGAGGAACTGAGACCACATTGTAATTCTTACAAGATGGATTTCCTGCTCTCACTCAAGGGGTTTTCCCCATAAAGTATGGTAGGAAGTGTGTTGAGCCTCATTAACTCTCATCTTGTTGCTGAAACAGTGCTGGAAACTGTCAGAGGCGTGTATTAGGCAAAGCTGCCTTGGCTGCCTGGACAGCAGTGAGAAGCTGCTGTGATGGGAGGTGAACCAAGGTATGGTGAAAAGCAAAAGGAAATCAAATATGACTCCAGAAGGTAGTTTATCTCTGCCAATACATACTGTATCCCATCTTTCTTATGTGTCAGTACCTAACATCAGATTTCCTTTCCAAAATCAGACAGGAGTGAGTTGGGAACTAAGGAAGCCATTTCAGAGCACTATCCTGTATTCCTGTTATATTTTATTGACTGCCCACAAAATCTCCGTAATATCTCCATAGCTCTCAGAAAAAATATTTTGCTCTTTGCATCATCTGTTTTACCCTGGCACTGTTTTGCTTCTGTAGAGCTGCTTCACGTTTACAGTGGAACGCAGGAGAGACTTTGCATATGATTTTTACACACTGGACATAGTCTTCCTTTATCCTTATTCCATTCTAGATCTCAGTGAAACAATTAAAAAGTCGCCTTAAGGATCTGGCTCTGAAAACATTTCAGTGTCTCCTAAAGAGAAGACAACAGGAGCCAGCAGTGCTCAGAATACTCAGAATACTGCATCTCAGAGGACTAGATTGCAATCTTGCACACATTCTGTCTCTTTTATTCCCTGGCTCAGGGCTGGGATAGCCCACATACATGATTCCAGATACTAGCAATATAGAGTACACTGAAAGCAGAACTGAGCCAAAATGTTCTTTTTGGACTTCTTCAGGAGTATGGGAAAGTACAGATTGAGATTCAAGGTGTAAACTTTCCCCATTGAAAGTTTGATAGTCAGGGTGATTTCTAGGTGGAGAGACAAAGCTGGGGTAAACCTGTGTATCTACTGCATAATGTGAGCAGCAATGCTTTCTAAGCCAGCACCAGAAATTCTGCCTCAGATACTGTGTATGTTATATTGCTGAAAGGAGAATAACATGATATTGATGTCCAGCTATTGCAGGCCTTAACCTTTTAGCCCCAAGGGACCACAGGGAGTTTCATCCAAAGAGTGCCCATAGGGGCCAGGCACAAATTTGCATATGTGAAATAGCATTTGCAACTTCAGATCACAAAGGTTCAAATGCCGTGTTGTGGTCTTTTGCTCTGTTATCCTCTAGGCTGCAGGCAGAAAACTGGACACTGTGCAGAACTCTGGTAAAACCTGTGATGCTAATTGTTTGATAACACTCCAGTCAAAGGACATATGTCCTCCTGCTTCCGTGATGTGCATTTTCATTTTATGAATGGGCTCAGACACTGCCTCTTTCTGGCAGTTTCTCGAGTCGTGACCTTTAGAGTCTGCATGTGGCTTCTTGTTCCTTCTGCATCCAGTCTAGAGATTTTACAAACCTCCCACCAAGGGGGACGAATTACACTGACACCTGCATTCTTTTACCTTTCTATGTTCCCCAAGAGCTGTAATATTTACCAACAAGAATCTCTTCTCAATCTAATCCAGTTCACATGAATATCACATGAGGCTACCTCCTGCAAGAGGCAGCCTTAAGATGTAGTGCATGATTTTGTGCTTACCGTCTTCCTTCCTTTGTCCTTATTTCGCCTTCAAAGAAGCTGTTTGTGCAAGAAGGGTGAAAAGACATGGGCCTTGGAGTGCAGGCTTGTCTGAATTAACTTAACGGTGAGTGCAGCTGAATATTTGCTATCTGAAGAGCATGCAGTACAGTGATTGCATTTATTAAATGCGTCAGGGTAATTTCCAAACTCCATCACTGCCACAGCACTGTGAGAGAAGGCTTGTATTGCTATACGAGTCCAGTTTGTCTGCCAACATGTCTACCCATTCTGCAGGTGTATGTGTTACAGCCCAAGGCAAAAATATCCATGCCTTTCCCAAAGATCTCATGGTGCTTCTGCAGGCCAGATGGTTCCAATTTGAGGCCTACGCTCGGTGATGTAGCTGTATTGAGTTTCTTCCCTGAAACCAACAAAACCTGCTTTAGCATTTTGCTTGGATTAAAATATTTGTCCCTTTTTTCACAGGGCAGAAGAGGGACTCCTGAAGCCACTGAAGGAAGGAAATCATTACAGGGTTCTACAGAAGTAGGTCATGTGCTACAGCTGCTCATAGTTTAAGAGGAAGAAACATGGGACCTCAAACATGGAACATGACTCCTTCAAAATGCTTGAGAGCAACCCAAGAAAAACATCCTCAGAGGCTTATTTAATAAACATTATCTATAATAGTCTCAATGTGTGCTCATGTTTCCTTAGGAGTTTGCACCTACTTTCCAGAGCTAACAAGATTCCAAAATAGAACTCAGAATAATTTAATGAAAAGGATTTAATAGTTTGTGTTAAAGCTAATATGGTCCATTAGGAGCTGTCATTTTATAAACAATGAAGGTATGTTACCCTCTCTATTGCTGTAAAGCCATTCCATACCAGGTTTGTAAACAGTCTGTAATGATCTACGGAACATTCACAAAAGACAATTAGAACCACATTTGAAAAATGTGCTTTCCCTCCCATTTGATTTCTTTTTAAGTAAACTTAAGAGGAGCACATATATAGTAGATTGATAAATGTATAGCATAAAGATTGCATGTATATATTATATACATGTATATATATATGTGTGTATATGTGGATTTCATTAACAATCATACAATGTTCATTATCTTAAAAGCGCTACAATTTCCACAGCTCAAAAAAATGCCTAAAGTGAACTGTTAAATCAACTGAAAAGTTTTTAATTATAATTAAAGTGTCACTTCACTGTGGCTTTTTCTTTTCCCGGCAAACTAGCATTTGAAGACTCAACCTCTTTTCTTTAACAACTGTGAACACAGATTTTTATGGACAGAAATAGTGTCAATTTCAATGTGCGGGGTTCTTTTCTTCCCCATGAGACTACAGAAAATCGTAAAACATGTATAAAAATTTAAAATGGGATTCTCCAAGGCTTGGGGCTCCTTAATGCTTGGTGCCATTTTCCACTGGTCTAAGTCCAGAGGATGGCAACACTGTTGTAAGCCACAGCTTAAAGCAGCTTGAGAAGGAGAGGGACAGTAGAGCTGCCCAGCCCAGGTCCCCCCCTTCGCATGCCCCGTGTTTTTTGGAAGCCAGGCAAGAATGAAGTATGAGAGAAATCAGACCTAATGACTACAAGGGAGTTACTTCTGGTGCACAGTGAGGTAAGTGTTTGGAAAATCAGGTCCATAAAGTGTCTTTATTCCTTATTACTACATGATCTAGGAGCAGATGAAATAGTCAAAAGATGACTAACTTGGTAAAAGAAAATGGATACAACCTTATTATTTATAAAGTGAACTCCTCATTAAAAAGAGGCAGCTTTTTCAAACAGCATTTAGATTCTTGCTCAAGAAAACAGGCAAGAAGGAGACTTCAGTCTGAAGTCATTCTGTTACACATTTACCTTACAAAGATTTATCTGAGCTACATCTGTGAAGTTTGTGCAGTGTCTTAGGACTGCCAGGTGCTTGAAAGCCAGGGTATGGAAATCCTACCAGAAAGCTGAGCAGAGACTTGTATAATAAAATAACAATCAATTGCACCAAGTGTTAAACAGTCTTTTTGGAAGGTTTGCTATATTTTTCTGCTTCTTTTTACAAATGGTCATTATTTGAACATAGGGTTAGGATAAGAAGAAACACTAAACAAAAGATCCTACTTGAAATATCAAATAAATCATAAGGACAATGTGGAGATATCAAAGTATACAGGATACATGTCTGAAGCTAAGGATTGAAGGAGCCTATCCCACGATCTGCCATACTAGCTACTAGGAAGGAAGGAAGGTAGGAACTCTATCCCAGCTGAAACCTGGACAAGAACCACTCTTGCAATTCAAAGGATACAGAATCATATTGTACCATTTCACATCATTTGAGGTGAGGAATATCTAGATTTTACTAGTCCTGAGTTTCTGCTGTACCACTGTTATTGATCTTGACCCAAACAAATAACGGGTATGATGGACTTGGTTTAAGATTGATGATATCAGCAGTATATTTGCGATATAAGGCAGTATTTATGTCTTTGACCTGGTGAGCACAGAGCCAGTCTCATAGTTTCAAACATAATTAAAAGATTTCCTGCTACTTGATGGTTTTTAAATGAAAATTATTAAGAAAGAAATAATTTTAGGTTTTTACCCAAATGGATATGATTTTAATGTTTACTTACTTTTGAAAATTTCCATATGGTTGGACAGGACAGAAAGAGGAGGAGCAGGATGGGAAAACAGATTCTAGTGCTCAAATTTGTTTTGCTTTTAAGGCAAATTTCAGCGCTTTAGATTTCTTTCTTCCCATTTACAGAAAGAGAAAACAAAATACCAGTGCCAGGGACAGGTGCCTCTAATGTATTCTTGTCAGACATGCAAGGAACAGGAGAGCTTTATTTTTGAAATACTACTGTTAGCTACATTACGTGGAGGTCTTGTTAGCGGTAAGCAGCAAATTGGTGTTTAGCGATGCAGGTGACAGCACTTATTAATTTGGGGGAAAAGGAAAGAAATCTCCAAATTCTCAGGGAGACAGGCATAGTCTTGTGTGTCAATATGAGGAATTTATGCAAGCATCCTCTCATTCTAATGAGGTAGAAAAAGCGGTACTGCAGAGACAGTAGTAAAATAACAGCTTATGCCCGGATTTGGGAAACATGTACTTAAACCATCTTTATGCAGGACAGCACTTAATCCTCTACTTAACTTTGATTTACATGGGTGCTTATGTGGTATCCTTGGGTAGGGATGACTAAAGACTGCGATGAGCGCTGCCTCTATTAATAACAGACTCAGCTCTGCATTCATCTAGTAATGATAATAACAGTAATAGTAACAACAGTAATTTGCAATTAGGTAGCTACTTTCATTTAAATAGATCAAATAGTAAGCTGCACAAATACTACTGGTTTAAGTTTCCCTCCATTCCCAAGCTGGGACGTGGTTTGGATCATTCTTCCCTGTAGAGCACCTAAAGATGGCCAGTGGATCACACCACTGTGGTATCTAAGATGAGGAGAGCAATGAGCTGGTTAGTCTGCTTGGTCTCTCCAGTAGCAGATTCCCGGTATGCTCACTGGGCAGTCTGAACAAAATGCAAGAAGCGAAATCTCCTGTCTACAAGGACAGTCTGTGAGAGAATGCAGAAATATTGGGATCTCCTGAATGCCCTCCAGGCCATTGTGCACTCACAAAAATATCCTTTCCATTGTCATCATCTAATAATATACAAAGGGGAATTTAATTTACTTTACTCTCTTCATTTGAAACAAAAGCATTGAAATTTGCACGACTAGTGCAAACTCCTAAAACAAACCAATTTGGAAAGAACCTAAGCATGAGATGTGTCTGGTTTCTTGTCTGGGTTACACTCCAAAGTTTGATAATCACACCCAGATGACTAAAATAATGAAGGTGATAGATTAGTGTATTGATGCATAAACACTGTCTCCAAAACTTATGAGCTGCATGATTTTGAGAACAATTACTTGTAATTAAAGCAACGCTGCTCTCCCCTCAAAGAAATATTTTGTGCATAACACCAAATAAATATATTTTTCAATGAGAATAGCTCTTAAATGCCTGTGCTGCTATTTATTTCTGACCACATTTAGAATTCTGAAGTGATATGAATTTGTATTGTTTAGCAGTATTATTTTGGGGTTGGGATTGTAAAAAATACCTCCCTCTTTTTTGATAGCATCTCTTGAATGAATTAAGAGCTAACCACTTCCACAGGGTGAGGATATGAACTGACTCTCATAATGATGAAAGGGAGTTTTTAGCCAGACAAACATTGTCTGATGAAGTCAGTATATCCATCCAGCTTGACTATCTGCTTATTAGTCTCTTTTTGATTTTCCATACCCTTTAATGATAGAATTCGTGAAACTAAAAGGCAACCTCGTGCCCTGGAAAGAAGAAATCTAGCATCACGCTAAATAAACGTTAATACATTTGCTTTAGAAAAAACAGAACATGTCTTTTTTCAGACTAAAACACAGTGTAGGTTTTCATTTCACTGAAACTGCAGTATAGAGTTATAGCTGATCTCGAAATTAGAATATCTGAATATACTGAATATACTGAAAAAAAGCTTTCAGTAGTCTAGCTCTACATATTTGAACTATTAATTCAAATGTGCACTAAAAACTGAGCTCAGCATCTGAATCCTGGTTTAGTATTTGAAACCTCACATAGACTTCAAAGAGTTGTATGAAACAAAAGAGGGTAGGAACCATACATGGTTTGGTTTTTCTAAAATTGCAGCTTTACCTCACTGATTCTGCATAAATAACTCTATGGTACATCTCTAATTGAAATAAAATACAAGACCTGAGCTCTATTCTAAGAGATGTTGTGCATATGCTATTCCCATTAAATCTTTTCCACTCCTTCTCCCCTTCCCTAGTTACCAATGAAGCCTCTAAAAAAGATTGAGTTCAGCAACCACATCTGACACCTTTCCTTCTGGCAGCTGTGGTTCCCTGAAGAGATAGATAGGTCTCACTCTCTTTTCTGCTTCAAAACAGTGAATTCTCACTTCCTAAAAATGGCCAGGCTTCTCCTGATAAATCTCTTACCAGGTTTGTATCACTGGCAGCCACATGAAGTGGTGTTTTCTTCCCAGAATCTATGTTCTGTGTGAGTTGCCATCCTCGTTTTGATAAGTGTTCAGCAGAATGCTGCCACGGTGTCTGCCAAGAGAGGAACAAGGACTGGACTCCTCCTGCTATCCCAGCTTGCTCCTGTCACCCTGAAATTCTGCCTCCATCGACATATGGAAAACAGAAGCATCCTCTGATAATGCCCATGTACCCAACAGGCATATGAGCAGCTGTACCCAGAGAAAAGCATGTTTAGTACATCATGGATATCACACATGCCCTGGGAACAAAAAGCAAGACAAAATTTCCTTTAAAATCAGTCAACACTCTCAGCAGAGAGACTTGTCCATCTATCTAACCGCAAGCTCATTTGTGAGTGGCAGAGACTAAAATCATGGCCTTGATCCATTTGTTTTTTTCTGATCTATCACACTGGGTCTCTGCAACAGCTCAACCATTCAAGGAACGGCATGCTCAGACTTTTCTGTGACCCACAGAAACATTCTCTGTGTCTGTTTTGGCAGCTGGGTGTAACTCAATCTGCTATGGTATCCACGCTTAAACAATTCTAGGAGT